CTGTGGAATGATGCTGTGAGACAGGGTAGATCTGCCCCTGTGTGTTTGAGACTGTCACTCTGTACAGGAGTAGAAAGTCCTGTCTCTCCTGTGGAGCAGCTGGAGGTTTCAGACCTTGGGGCCAGCAGCCCAGCCCATCAGCAGGGTTCTTACCCCTCTCTTCAGTGGTCATACATAGCTCAATAGTTTTGATTTTTTTCAGACCTAATTTTATTCATTTTTTTCTCTCTTAGATGAAGAAACAAGCCTTGAAATCTCTGATTATTAAAATCAGTAAGGAAAACTCTCTCCTAACACAATTTACAAGCTTTGTGGCAGTTGAGAAAAGGGTAAGTATTGTTCATTCAGAGTTAAAGCCTTTTTTTAATTTTTCCTCTTTCCATGTCAGACAAGTGACTTTTCCTCTGGTTGCTAGTCTGCCCTTCCCGGGATGGGATTCCAAACGTAGAATTCTTCACGTTGATGTGGTGCAGCACGGTGGAGCAGACCAGGTTTAGTATCCAAAAGAACAGGGCTTCCATCGGATTCAGCCTTACCTAGTAAAGAGGTAAAGCTTGGATTCCACCATTGCTCGTTATTATTAGTGCTTTAATGGAAGAGTAACAGTGAAAAAGAATGGCTTGATTTAGCTAATATACAAAGCATGGTTACTTGAGAGCCCTAAATGTACTTCACAGATGTATTTTTTTTAATCAAATTCATATCAATATCCCTACTTAATTCGACAAGAGGGGCTAAGTTTCATTGGGAAGAGAGACGTGGTCAGTAGGCCTGTTTTTGTAGTTGGAAAAATAAGAAGCGATTAGGCCCGGCTCAGCCCTGTTGGGCATTGTAAACCTGGTTGCAGGTAGTTTTACGCACAATAGGAAGGTCAGTTCCCAAGGTAGGCTCTGTTTAGCTGGGCACGGTCCCGGCTCCAGGATTATTTTATATGGTAGATGCTTTTCATGCTCTCTGACACCGCACTCAACGTCCCCGGAACTCTGCTTCTCTTTTCCTGTCATCCTAGCTCAGTGTTTCAAAGTCAGCCAGGCTGGACTACAATAAAATATGACAAGGTCGGGCAGTGCTTGACCTCACGTCGGCCATCCGCTGCTCGTCAGACCTGACAGTATCTGCCCGTTGAGCAGGGACTGCATTCTGTACTTGCAGGATGAAACAGGCAGCTCTTACAAAGCCAGTGAGGCTGCCCTCAGAGCCCGGGACCCTCATTGCCCTGCCTTCCCACGTCTGTCCCCAGGGATTCAGACACGACCAAGAGTCCTAAGACAGAAGTCAAACTAGTTGGTGGCCCTCCCCCTACCCACCAATGGGTTTTATTTGTTCTGAGCATCCTTTTTTTTCAGTTGGTTACTTAGATTTATGGGAGATGGTTCCCAAAGACCCAGATTTCTTCATTTTCTTGGGGGGAGGGGGATCCCGTGATCTGGCTGTACTGTATCCCCATTGTCACGTGGCAGAGGTGAGGAAAGCTGTTCACATTCCAATCTCCAAGGACTCTGTTGAGCTACAGCCCCATCTGGCCTCTCCACTTTACTTAAAGTCGCCTGAATGTCTAACACCACTCCGACTTTTGGAACTCGTGGTTGAACTTCTCCTGAAGGAAGCCCTTGGTACTCGAACCAGAAGGCATCCTCTTCCAACACAAGCCTGCCAGGCCAGTCCCGTGACATGACTGCTCCTCTGGGATCCAGACTTCCCAGCAGTGTCAAAAGAGTAGCAGCCTGCGCACTCCGCAGACGTCCCAGAGAAATCCACCGCTCTGTTGAGTAATGCCACTCTTTAGATTGTAAGAATGAGTCTCTGACAAAGGATTCCTCACTTTTTCATCATGCAGTGCAGCAGTCAAGAGCCAGGGCTGAGCCTGAATCATGGTTGCACGCAAGCTCCCTAGCCTTAATGTTCCCATCAATAAAATGGGGCTAATAGCCATACCCACTCCCTGAGGATCATTGAGCCAAGGCCACCTCACATTCATGAAAGACCTCGTCACCATTAGGATTTATGATGATTTCTCTGAGTTCTATGTGTTGTAATGGTGAATGTTATTATTATCAATTACTTACACGTGTATTTTTAAAAATAGTTTTATTAGGGGCTCATACAACTCTTATCACAATCCATACATATATCAATTGCGTAAAGCACATTTGTACATTCATTGCCCTCATCAGGAACTCATTTTTCCCCCTCCCTCCCCGC